GAGAACGGGAGGAAGACCTGAGCTCAGCATCGTGCAGGCAGCTTCTGCTCTCAGCAGCCCACGGCTCTGGCAGTCAGATTTAAAGCACCTCCCAAGAGCCAGGAACACCCAACAGCCTGAAAATTGGGGAGGAAATACATTTATTAGAGTTTTGAAGCCACATGGGACACACCCGTGTCACATATCAGCCTTGATGGAGAGGCTGCACTGGGGCTGGTGCCAACGAACATGCATGGTCATTCCCCATGCCTGAATTGGCATTCTTCATCCAAGCCTCTGCTGCTCCAAACCTCAGCCATCCCCTGAGCCCTCTGTTATGGGTCCCCTCCCTTACCTCTTGTCCCTTTTCTCAAAATCACAGAATCTCAGAATAGATGGGGTTGGAAGGGCCCTCTGGAATTCATCTAGTCCAACCCCTCTGCAAGATCACCTGGAACAGGTAACACAGGAATACATCACAGTGGGTTTGGGATGTCTCTAGAGTGACAGACCCCATAACTCCCTGGGCACCTCTTCCAGTGCTCTGCCACCCTCCATGGAATGAAATTTTTTCTTGTGTTGAGGTGGAACTTCTTGTGTTTTGAGCTTATGGCCATTGCTCCTTGTCCTGTTTCTGGGCACCACTAAAGAGTCTGACACCATCCTCTGATGAGATCCCCTCTCAGTCTTCTCTTCTCCAGACTAACCAGGCCCAGCTCCAGCAGCCTCTCCTCATCAGAGGGATGCTCCAGTCCCTTAATCTTACGGCCTCCATTGGACTCTCTCCAGTAACTCCCGTCTTTCTTGGAGACCAGAACTGAACACAGATATGGCCTCCCCAGGGCAGAACAGAGGGTAAGGATCACTTCCCTAACCTGCTCACCACACTATTCCAAACACTCCCCAGGATCCCGTTGTCCCTCCTGGCCCCAGGGCACACTGCTGGCTCATGGTCAACTCATGGACCCCCTGGTCCTTCTCTGCAGAGCTGCTCTCCAATAGGGCACCTCCCGCCCGTGCTGGTACCTGGGGTTATCCCTGCCCAGGTGCAGGACCTGTATTTGTTCTTGTTGAACCTCATTAGGTTTCTCTCCACCCAGCTCTGCAGCCTGTCCAGGTCCTTCTGAACAGCAGCCAGCCTTCAGGTGGATCAGCCACTCCCCCAGTGCTGTATCATCCCCAAACCTGCTCAGGGCCCATTCCATCCCCTCATCCAGGCTGTTAAGAAAGAAGTTGGATAAGACTGGACCAAATACTGATCCCTGGGGAATGCCACTGACTACAGGCCTCCAGCTGCATTCTGCTCTGCTCACTACCCTCTGAGCTCAGCCATTGAGCCAGTTCTTGATCCCCCTCACTGTCCATTCATCCACCTCACATTTCCTGAGCTTATCCATGGGGATGTTACAGAACAGTGTCAAAAACCTTGCTGAAGTCAAGGTAGACACCACCCACTGCTCTCCTCTCATCAACGCATCCTGCTGTGCCATCATAGAGGGCATCAGATTGGTCAAGCAGGATTTCCTCTTGGTGAATCCATGCTGACAACTCCCGATAACCTTCTTTACTTTCAGGTGCTTGGTGATGATCTTCAGAATGAGATATTCCATCATGTTTCCAGGGATGAAGGTGAGGCTGACTGGCTGGGAGTTTCCCAGATCCTCCTTCTTGCCCTTTCTGAAGACAGGACTTAACACTGGCTTTTCTCCAATCATTGGACACCTCTCTCATTCTCCAGGGTTTTTTGAAGATGGTGAAGAGTGGCTAAGCAACAAGCAACAACCTCTGCCAGCTCCTTCAGCACCTGTGGGTGCATCCCACCAAGGATTTTTTGGGTGTTAAGTCTGCCTGGCTGATCTCTCTCAACCTTCTGTGACAAAGGGAAAGTTTTCCTTTCTCCATCCTTCATCTCTTACTTCCAATATCTAGGATTCCTGAGGGCTGCTCCCAGGAGTGAAGCCTGAGGCAAAGAAGATGTTGAGCAATATCACCTTCTCTGTGTCTTCCATGCCCTACTGGATTCAGCAGCAGCCCCACATTTTCCCTAATCTTCCTTTTGCTGCTGATGCACGTGGAGAAGCCCTTCTTGTTGTTCTTGATATCCCTTGCCAGACTCAACTCCAAAGGGACTGCCCTTCCTCGTTGATCCCTGCATAGCCCAAAGATGTTCCTATAGATCTCTCATGTGCCTGTCCCTTTTTCAACATCCCATAAATTTCTTTCTTCCATTTGAGAATTGCTAGAACCTCACTGCTCTTCCATGCAGGTCTCCTGGCCCCTTTGCTTGATTTCTGGATCATGGGGATACACTGGTCTTGAGTTTGGATGCTTGAATATTGACCAGATTTCTTGGGTTCCCTTCCCTTCTAGAGCCCTATTCCATGGGATTCCTCTAGGTAGATCTTTGGAAAGGTTGAACTGGCTCTCTGGAAAATCAGGGTTCTAGCCCTGCTACTGCTTTGCCTCCCACACAGGATCCTGAGTTTCACCATAACATGGGTCACTACAGGCAAGGCTTTCCCCAAATTTCCCATCTTCAACCAGTCCCTCCTGGTTTGGTAGTACAAAACAGAAACACACCTCTCCTCCTTGGCTCCTCCACCACTTGTATCAAAAGGTTGTTTTCAATGACCTGCAGGAACTTCCAGGACTTCCAGCCTGTGCAGG